GCGAAAAACTCCGCACGTGAACACAGCTCAGCACCTACCGAACCGATATTCGAAATGGTTCAGCGCTACAACAGGATAATTCCTTCAGTGACCATTGAAAAACTAGAGAACGTGTTCGCTCTCGTCTCGACAATAGTACAATATTATATAATAGATTTAACCAATAGAAAAAATATATTAGTGGCAACAAATAATGTTTGAATTTGTAATGATACCGTCTTTCTGTATCTCATATCCAATTATTAAAAATATTCACCCCATACGAAAATAGAATAAAATAAAAAGAAAGCCGAACTGAGACACAAGTTTAAGTGTATAAAATGGACAATATGAAAATGCAAGTCGTACAGAATATTTATTGGCCGAAGAGATAACTTAACCCTTCGCTCGGGTTTATTATCTATTTTTTGTACGTTGTTAATGCAAATAGGCATTGTTATAGATCTAAGGATTTTCGACTTGAAGCGTTATATTACAGCAATGTTAGTTGCACAGGTCGTACCCCACAGTTGAATACCATACATCCAAATCGGCTTTATGACCGCGTTGTATGAAAGAACTTTATTGCCAAGGCTAAGCTTAGAATTTTTATTTAAAAGCCCGTTTAAATTTTCTGATCTTATTTCGGTGCTACTTATTTTGCTTAAGATTAGCGAAAATCCTCCGCTGAACCCCCCACGAGGGTGCCGACTGGGAATAGATACCAGTTTCACGATGTAGACAGGGACGAGCTGGCAGCATTCCGCTCTTGTTGTTGTAGGGAGGTATCTAGCGTAGTAGAGGTCAGGCTTCCTATCTGTTTAAATAGGAATTGGTTACATATACATACATCGGACATACCATCCCCTACACGCGTGGGTACAAGGTATGAACCAAATTGTTTATACAATAAGAATAATATAAACAAAACGGAGTCCGGACCTCCTGTAAAAAGGCCGGAGGAAGCGAGTTGTTCCCAGATGAGAGCAGTGTATGATGCGAAACTTGGCAACAGCCGAGGTGAGGACAGGAGCGAGGCTTGGTCCTGGAGCAAAGGCTAGCACTATTAAAAGAGCAGAAGCCCAAGCTGACTCAAAGAAAGCAACAGCACCGGAGGCGGCCCATAAAAACCCTTGTAGCCAAGGTTTGGCTGCTAAGCAGGGGAAGGAGGGAGATGTCAAAAGTGATGCTGCCAGTAGTGCTTCAGCTTCAGAATGGCCTTCCTTTAAGATTGAAGTCCCAGCAAAGGCAAAGTATGCAAAGAAGCGACGCGCTGCTTACCTGCTGAGAAAGGTGGAGCTGCAACCGCCACAAAATGAGGCGCTTACAAAAAAAAACTCTAGGAATCCATTGATTGCGCGAAAGCTTTCTTGCCTAACTTTAAGCTGGAAGCCGGCAGTGGCAGCTAAGAGACAAAGGTCAGCTGATGTGGCTAAGCCGTCAGCCAAGAGACCGAAGACTAAGGGCGTGACACCAGCAAAATCTTTTGCTGATGCGGCCCGGAACCGCATTATCATTGGGGTACTGGATGAGGGAGACACCGAAGGAAAAATCCTCAGAGCCTAATGGAAGTGAGTGCAAGCAAGATAAGGATCTTTAAGTCAGATGCCGATGCAGGAGAAAACTTGGCATCGGAATCAGAATGTGAAGTCGAGGAAGATCCAATGGAGTCCTCGAGTGACGTGGAGAACACAGAGCAAGATAAGGGTACTTCGGGGTCTAAGTTCGCAGACAGACTCTCTAAACTCTCCACTGAGAGTGAGCTTTTGAGCGACTCTCAAAAAGACGAAGAGAAGACACTAATTAATGCACCTTCTCTAAATTAATCTCATATCGCCATCATTGTCATAGTACCATGCAGCTTATTAAAGAGCCGGTACAAGACAGCGAAGCATTCAAGTGCTCGATTATATTTACTTGGGTACGACTCCAATGCACACCACACGCTATGGGGCAGCACGGATATCAACGATAGGGGTGAGTTGCTCTTTAATTATTTATTATGAAATAAGCTTTTGTTATGCAACAAGGGCAGTACTCCAACATTTATAACTAGAAACCGACAAAAAGTATTAGACATAACACTTATGTGGGAAGAACTGGTAGATAAATTGACACATTGGAGAGTACTGGAGGAACAGTTCACAGATTATTGTCAACAAGCACTAGAGGTGGCTGTCAGATGCATCTGCAGGACCTAAAAAATCGTATTCTTATGATTCCGCCATTTCAACCAGAGATAAAAGTGGACCTAGACTCGTTGAACAGTTCACAGATTCTTGTTGACAAGCACTAGAGGAGGCTTGTCCTATAACATGCAGTAAGGTAGGAAATAGACCCCGCTGGTGGTCTCCCTTACTTAAGAACGTGCAGAAAGATTTCAGGAAGCAATTCAATTTAACCAAATTATCTCAAAGAGAAGAAGAGTGGGACAACTATTATAACCTCTTAAGATAATATAGAAAGTAGGTAAGGAAGGCAAAATGAAATTCGTGAAAATCTTCTTACCTTCCAGAGAGTTCCGTGAACCACTCATTGGAGCACGGACTGGAGAGTGAAGTGGTAGCAGAGTCCCCTCCTGTAGACATTGTGTCAGATAGTAATGTTTACTGGGTGATAGGCAGCTTCAAGTCTTATAAATCGAAAAAAAAAACACAATGTAGATAGGTTATTCAGTTCAAGTTTTCTACATGTATTTCTTCTTTACATTCTCAAGTTCAAAATGCAAACACAAAATGTATATTCCCATTTTCATTTTTTTGGCAAAAGTTTAAAATTAGTTGAAAAGTATTAAAAATGATAAACAAAAATTAAATTCAATATTTTGTTGGATAGCCGTTGTTTTAAAACCTCGCTCAATTGATTTGGCATTGATCTTACCAACTTATCTGTTTCCTTAGCTGTAATCTGGGACTATTCTTCCGTCATAATACTTCTCAAATCCTCTTGTTATTGTATGCTGACGAATTCTTTTTTCCAACAGATCCTATAGATGCTCAATAGAATTCAGGTCAGGTGATTGAGGGGGCGTTTTAAGTTGTCTAGGAGCATTGTACAAGAGCCAAGGTCTTACTATTTCCGCTGTATGCTTCTGGTCATTATCTTGTTGGAACCAAAACGTCGAAGATAATCCAAGATCTCTGCACTTTGTTTCAAATTGTTTTTTAAAATGTTCAAATAACCCCATTTATCCATTATGAATTCAATAAATTCAAGCTGACCCACACCACCAGCCGCCAAACAACCCCACACCATAATTCCGCAAACTCTCTGTTTAACTGTACCAACAAGATTTTGCTTTTCAAAGGCAGTTCCTGTCTTGCGCCACACAATTTGTCGATCTTTTATGCCAAAAATGCAAAATTTACTTTCATCCGATAATATTACTTGTCTCCAGAATTACGGCCACTTATTTATATAATTATGAGCAAATTCAATGCGCTTTCGTCTGTTTACGAGTAAATTTTATGGTTTCTTTCGAGCGGCTATTCCATGATATCCAGGTTTTCGTAAATTTTTTTAGCAGTTTCGGCACCAATTGTTGTTTTAATTGTTATATTTACGTTTTCAATAATCTTTGTGGACGTAATTCGACAGTTAACTTTCACCATATTTATTATTTTCCGTTCTTTCCGGGCTGATATTTTTAGACGGCCAGATCGCGGTTTTGACGTTAAAATTACGTGTTTTTTTTTATTGTTTACGACGCGTTGGACAGAAGAATACGTTCTTCTAATAGTTCGCCCAATTTTTCTGAAACTTTCGCCATCTTTCCACAACTTAATGATAATTTTTCTTTCCGACAGACTAATTTCTTTATTATATTAGGTCAAGTAAAAAGTTCGGTTTTTATCTAAGAGATGGCTTTATTGTCCATAGTACTAGTGTTACGTGTCGCATCATGTCATACTATACGACGCTGAAAACGTGTTTATTCGCGCTAAAAGTTTGTCTTTGACAGTTTTTCGATTGATTTACTCAGTTCGTTGTGAGCGCTCGTCAAAGATGGACACCAGCAACGAGAAAATTCGCTATATTTTACAATTTTTCTTCGATCAAGGCGAAAAAGCAGCCAAAGCGGCTGAAAACATTAATTTAGTTTATGGGCCCGATACTGTAAACGAACGTGTAGCACAAAAGTGATTTGATAGGTTCCGTTCCGGTAATTTCGATGTCAAAGATACACCACGCGTCGGGAGGCCTGTCGTCGAAAATTGCGATAAAATCATGAAAATAGTGGAAACAGACCATCACGTGAGCACTTATTTAATTGCTGAGGAACTAAAGATAAGCCAGAAAACCGTTTGGAACCATTTGCATAACCTTGGATTCAAAAAGGAGCTCGATGTTTGGGTGTCACACGAACTAACGCAAAAAACATGATGGACCGAATTTCCATCTGCAAATCGCTGCAGAATCGCAACAAAATCGACCCGTTTCTGAAGGGGATTGTGACTGGCGATGAAAAATGGGTCACTTATGACAACATCGAGCGCAAACGGTCGTGGTCAAAGCTCGGGGAAGCGGCCCAGATAGTGGCCAAGACCTGATTGACGGCCAGGAAGGTTTTGCTGTGTGTTTGGTGGGATGGGCAAGGAATCATCTACTGCGAGCTGCTTCCCTATGGCCAAACGCTCAATTCGGCTCTCTACTGCCAACAACTGGACCGCTTGAAGGCAGCACTCATCCAGAAGAGGCCATCCTTGATCAACAGAGGCCGAATTGTGTTCCATCAGGACAACGCCAGGCCACACACGTCTTTGGTGACTCGCCAGAAGCTCCTGGATTAATTATATTAAAACAGAATAGAATCTACGCAAAAAGAAGAAACAAATTCATGAGAAGTGACGGTATTTCCAATTCAAGCTAACTGAACGCAGACTTAATGGTGCCTATGTTTACTTGTTCTTTCACTAAAATTACGTTATAACAAAAATGAAAATAGGAATATACATTTTTGTTTTTGCATTTTGAACTTAAAAATATAAAGAAGAAATACATGTAAAAAATTTGAGCTAAATTATTTATTTACAATGTGTTTTTACTTCATTTCTAATAATGTGTCGGGTGAACGCTGACTTTATTGGGTATGAGTATATTCCCTCCATAGGGAGGGGATCAAGGTGATATATATACTAAATGCGGGCAAAAGCTCACACACTAATCCAAAGGATTTTAGACCTATTAGTTTTTCCTCGTTTCTCTTAAAAACGCTGGTGAGGCTAATAGAAATACATATAAGGTGCAAACTAAACCCAGGAAAAATGGCAGTTTCGCAGCATGCGTATTTTAAGGTTACATCCACAAAAACGGCGTTAAGCTCAGTGGTAACAGAGATTGAAAAATCTGTAAAGATAAAAGAATTCACCCTCGTAGCTAGACTAGAAGGTGCTTTCAATAACATCCAGCCGAGGGCCATACTGAGCCCGCTTGAAGATTTGGGCCCGGAGCCTTTCCGGATTTTAACTGAACGGATGCTTTTGGGCAGGTCAATTATTTCAACGTTGGGAGCTTTAAAGATGTGCAGATCTGTCCGAAGGGGTACACCCCAAGGAGTCGTGTTATCCCTACATCTCTGTTGTTGTTGTTGTAGCGGTAAAATTCTGCCGAGTTGACAGTCCTTAGCTGGATAAATCCGGGCCCGTTCGGGTTACGTAGACCCGACTGTCGTGGGAACGGTCCCTACATCTCTGGATCAGGACAATGAATAAAATGCTGGATATCTGGAAGCTTTCTTGGGAACAAAACTTGGATTGACTTCCGGATGACTTTATACTGCATTTATCGGCCAATATGCTGGTTATCTGAGTAAAATTACGTGAGTGTGTTTTTATAATAATAGTGTAAGTTTGCGCTTAAAATTGTTAAAATCGGATGAAAACTTACGCTAGCCCCATTTATGTAACTAATATCAGGATTTTCTAACATCCGGTTGACTTTACTCCTTATATATTGGTGATAGTATACGAGGTACCATAATGCAACTCAGAGAGCACTTTTTTCTGTTAATAATATGTATCAATGGCAAATGGATAAAATCGAGTCAATACTACCATATCTGCAATATACCTAATATAAACTTTTCAAAGGTCCAATTGGCTTTATACGTATATATTGGGCAATATGTAAGATATCTTAGCAAAATTGATTTAACCTATAATATTGTATACACTATAGTTCAATGCCATAAAATATGCGAAATTATATTAGGTGCGCAACTAGGCAGGTAGGTAGGTTACAATTGACGCTAGTCAAAAATTGTTACTATCTTTCTCAAAGCTCGAATACCATTACGGTAAAACTGTTCATCTTACGATGTTATCCAAAAATCAAGCCATTTTTCGATGTCGTCTTATGAGTGGAACTGCTTCTGAGCCAGACCATGTGCCATCAAAAGAAACAAATAATAGTCGGACGGTACAACATATGAGGAATATATTCGTGAGGCCGAACGTTGTCATGCAGCAGAATTTGTTTCTGAAGTGGAACTTCTAATGGAGATTCGAAAAAGGTTGTGTTAAACGTTTAAGGCGCAGTGCTTAGAGTGTATGACGCATCCACTATTGAACAAAGGAAAAGAAAGAGAGAGATAGAGCTACACAGCAAGTGTTGATGGCTTAGTGAGTGAAACATTATATACATACATACCTATCAGCAAAAGTATCAAGCGCATTCGTTCAGTGGTTCAGAGTAGCCAATAGAGCGATGGGTCCTTAGTCCCGTTGATATCACAATGGGCCTCCTAAAGGCCTAGGAGTGTCGAAAGACAGCCACTCTACCCACCTACCTACCTATTTTGCTTGATATGTAGTATACATACATAGCTACCAGCAAAATTATCAAGGGCATTCATTCAATGGTTCAGAGAGGAGCCACTAGAGTGAAGGGACCTTAGTCCCGGTGGTATCACAATGGGGCTCCTAATGGCCGGGTCGAAAGACCTATTTTACTTAATATATGTTTTTCCCACGTGAGGGTTATATCCAAGTGTATGACAAGATAAGTTACATCTTTGATTGTGGTACTAAAAAAAAATCGACTGATACATTTTTGGTCTAAGTGAACATGTGCTTACACTTTTGCATGAAGCGTAATGCCAAGATATTTGGCTGTATTGGCACATGGTATACAGACATCACAAATACCTATAGGTTGATAAGTGAATCGCTGTCTGGTTGATTCTGGCAATTTATCGTCGATTATATTTTGTTCTCGCATCCGTGTTCGTCATACTGCTAGCCGACTATGTCTGATCGTCCTGATGAGACATGTTTGCAGTACCAAACGCTGCAAGACGTTCTAGATGAGCTACCTTCTTTTTATTCCTAGGTCTTCCAAAGGGCTGTACGTCGTTTAATAACCTGGTATGGTCATTCCCAACTACACTGTAATTTGGGATACATCCCCTACTTTCGTTGTGGATTATATAACAATAGCCAATCTCCTTCAATAAAACCCTCAGAACTCATTTTGTATTTTGATTTTATTTTATCGCTCATAATTTTAGTGCTCTGTCTCACCATAGCATGCATATCCCTCATCTCGTCTTCTAGAGTGCTATTGACTTCCTTAGCTCTCCTGTTATTGGCACTAATTCGAATATTCACTCAGTCGGTGGCCAAAGCCACAAATTAGACTTTCTGAAGTCTGCTACGTGGTTTCATATACAGCAGCCTGATAGCCCATCAGGAACAAGGATATAAGAGTATCCCAATCTTTTTGATATTTGTCCATAAATTTCTTGCAAAATTCATACGTGTTATTCTGGTACCAAGTTTCTGGTACATTCCCTGCAATAAAGCTGTCTTTAAATTTATTTTTTGAACAGAACGTAAATCCATTGATACTTGTTGACGAATACGTCCGCTATTGGTTAAGCCTCTTGATTAGGAGTTGGATATACTTCTGGCATTCCACTTTAGCCTTAATTTTATCCTGCTCCTTCAATTTTGAGAACACCTGTGCTTCTTGCTCTTCCTGTATTGACTTACGAGTTTCAAAATGTTCTGAAATGCTCTGCCATTTCCGAATTCACCTGCGTCGATATTTAAGTTGACATCTGCTGCATTTAGGTCGACAACTGCGTTGACAAACGCTCCCCAAACGGCAGCCAAAAACGGGTCCATAACCCCAGATAAACATTAAGTCTCTTCCTTTTCTTCTTTTTTCGTTATATTTTCCTCTAAATTCGTTATATATTCCTCTAAAAGACATAATCCTCTAAATTCATGTTTTCTGCTTCTGTTGCTCCTCGTCACTGTGGCTTTAATTCGAACCCCACTCCAGTTGTGGCCAAACCACGTCCAGCTCCTTTTTCAGTTGAAGAATTATCTGTTCGTTAAACAATTATTTCTCTAGGAATTTATTTAACAATCCCACTTCAAATAGCAATTGTAACGGATTTCTCGATAAATCGTCTACCACAAACTCTCTCTTGCGTTCGATCTAGATTGTTGAATAAAATTTCTGATTCCAACAACTTAACCCTTTATTACTCATAATCCGAGCTTAAAACTTCTTACTTGTATCTTCATTGCTTTCACACGGCAGTACTCTAACTAAAACTGTGTCTGCTGCACAATCCGGCAGCCCTTTAACATATATTAGATCGTTAACCAAACTTCGCCACTACAACATGCTGGCAACTATGAATTTCGCTGCCTGGTTGATTCTGGCAATTAATCGTCGATTCTATTGTGTTCTGGCATCCGTGTTCGTCACAATATTAGTATACAGCTGCCGGCGATGTTTTTTACGATGTACTAAATTTTCCCAAAAAATTCAAGAATTTAAAGTATCTAATTTTTCGGTTTATAATGAATTTTACATTCATATTTTTCCCTTTTATATCCACCAACACTTCACTAAATAATTTCTATACATTTATTATATATTAAATTGTGCACAAATAGCTTTAAATCATAACTAAAGTTTTTCTTAAATACGACTAATTCACACAATAACAAAGAGTTACATGCAAAAAAAATTAATAAACTTTACCATATTTACAAATTTTGCAAACGAATAAAAATAAGTTAAAGTAAAAACCAAACAGCCTAGAAAGCTAGGCGATAGAAGTAAAACATCATGGATCTCAATGGGCACTTGAAATGAAAAAATGAAACTAGCCAGCGAGTTTTATGAGATAAAAATATTTCCCCGATAGCAGAAGTCACTATTCATTAATTTGGAATTTTCAAGGGTGTTAGGTTATTGCAAAATGATAGTTGATGTTTCGCCTCCATTAGTAAAAAAAATATATTCATTCACTTCCATACTTTCATGTTCAAGAAAAAATATAATTGATTTGTGGTATGAAAAATATGAAAAGAAAACTCGTGATAGTAAATTATTTAAATATCTTAAGAAAATTGCATCTATTGTCGTGTGTCTGATCTGTTTGTTGAGTTTTTGGGATTATTATAAATTTTTAATTTAAATTTACTTTCCAAAAATTGTACAAGTGGTTGAGCTTCTTCCAAGGCAAAATTGAGATTAAAATCACCGCTTAAAATCATTGGCATAGTGTGCAAATCTTCTCCTAATTCTGCTGCACTATAGGGCACATTCGGCCGCACAAATATCTCTCCAACTGCAGCAGCATTCACAGATAACCAATTAATTTGTTCTAAATTCATATCCATATGTGGAGCGACAATATTTATTCTGTCTGTGGAGTTATGGTAGATAGCTACCCCAACAGCTGTTACATTGGGACGTTTGAAATGGACGACACAATCGAAGCTCGGCACATCAGCACCTTCTTTATCGTTTATCTATGTTTCCGACAATAATAAAATATTCGCTCGTTGGGATACTGTGTCCGTCAAGTCTACTGCGTAAGCATGTAAACTTTGGCAATTTAGAGAGAATAATGAGAGAATTAACTTTAACATTACTCCGAATCTGTCGCGTTTTCGTTTCTCTCCCATGTCTCCTAATAATTACTAAATAAATATGTAGAAACCATTTACGAATGTGTTAATATATGAAAAGTATATAATAGAAATGTAGGCTGGGTATGTACGGATAAAGGAAGTTCTTCTATATCCTTTTGTTAAAAAATAACTTCTTTGTACTATTTTAGACCATAATCGTATTAAGTGCTTTATCACTAGTCTATTGCATAATCCCATAGCATTTGAGGCAATGAAAATCTGACACCATAGTTTCATAGACAAATTTATAGAAAATAATAATTTGGCAGCGAAGAAAAAGCCTGCGCACAAGTACTTCAATGGGAATTACTTACGTAATAACTAAATGTAAGAAAGTTATAGTGTTACTTGTTTTCGTAAAAGTAGCAATTTTAAAGAGTTTTGTTCTATTCACTTTATTAAATTTAGAATATCGAATCTCGCCTAAAAGAGATATGAGCCCCTCGGGAAGGGGTAAGGTAAGATGTTTCGAAAAAGGAAAAATATACTCTGAAATCGGTCGAATTGTTGCAAGAACACATTCTTTCCGTCCGGCGTTTTTGTATCTCATCGCGTCCAAAGCGGCCAAAAATAAAACTTTCGATTTACTGTATCCAAATCGATCAAAATGTTAGGAAATATTTTAAGAAATCTCTCTGCACTGACACCAATCGCAAAATTAAAACAAACAAAAAAACAGGGTTCTATGGTCAAGTCGTACACAAGAACTCATACTTATCGGTAGCAATAGGTAAATGCATAAGGTTTTCGCGAAGGAGCACTTAAACAAAATCCAGGAGTTTTGGCCGAAAATTATTTTTTAAAAAAAGAGAACTTTTTGCTTCTTTAATACATTGGGCGTAGGATTTAATTGAGAACAAGTAAGGAAGGGCTAAGTTCGGATGTAACCGAACATTTTATACTCTCGCAAAGTCAATGGTATACTCGTTTGAGATTTCTTTGTGGATTGACTAATATTTTCGGTAGAAGGTCAACTATAGGCACTGGGGTCCACATATTTAGTACTTAGGGGTTTGAACAGTTTTGGTTCGATTTAGACAATTTTTGGCCGCAAGGTGGCATACTTTAATTGCATTATTCACGCAAAGTTTTACCCCGATATAATCATTGTTACCTGATTTGCATAGTGGAAAGTGAAAGAATCAGATGGAATTGAAAATGGTGTTACATGGGAAGTAAGCGTGGTTGTAGTCCGATTTCGCCCATTTTCGCTATGACATAGTAACATGAAAAGAACGTTTGCACCGAATTTGGTTGAAATCGGTTGAGCAGATCTCAAGATATGGGTTTTCACCTAAAAGTGGGCTGTGCCACGCCCACAGACTAATTTTGAACGCGGTTCCTATAAACCCAATTTATACCATCTCAGAGATAAAATTTAATGTCTCGGGCGTGTTTAGTGCTTGATTTATCGCGCTTTAAGTAATTTTAAACAGTACCGTTATATGGGGAGTGGGCGGAGTTGCCACCCGATTTCAACTATTTTCACACCGTCAATAGAAGTGCTAAAAAAATTTGGTTCTAGTGAATTTTGTTATTATAGCATTAGCGGTTTAGGAGATTTGCACATTAAACCTATTAGAGGCGGGACCACGCTCACTTTTTAAAAAAAAGTTTTAACTGCAGATGCCCCTTCCTAATGTGATCCTGTGTACCAAATAACAGTCTTGTATCTTATTGCGGAGCTTAGTTATGGCAAGTTATTTGTTTTTGATTAATGGCGTTTTGTGGGCGTGGCAGTGGTCCGATTACGCCCATCTGCAATACCAACCGTCTCACGGTACCAAGAAACATGTCTACCAAGTTTCATAAAGATATCTCAATTTTTACTGAAGTTAGAGCTTGCACGGACGGACGGACGGACGGACAGACAGTCACCCGGATTTCAACTCGTCTCTTCATCCTGATCATTTATATATATATAACCCTATATCTAACTCGATTAGTTTTAGGTGATACAAACAACCGTTAGGTGAACAAAACTATTATACTCTGTAGCAACAGGTTGCGAGAGTATAAAAACGGATACGGCACTCGGTAACTTGATGCATACAGTTAAGAACGAATGTGAAGAAGCAATGATATGGGGGTGTCTTGCCGCTGTCTTAGGGTTTTGAGATATTTGCATTTGAATTTAAAAAATGTAAATATTTAAAGTGCGTGTTTTTTCGATTTATAATAATTATTTAGCATACCACGATTTCAGGGTTAAGAGGGGTATGGTTGGATAGAGAAGATTCTTAAGATCTCGAATATATATAATTATTGCCGCTGTAAACTTATAGTTTTCGAGATATTTGCATATTAAGTAGAAAATTTCACAAATTTCATTTTACAATTTCTCGGTTTATGGTTATCTTTTCTTTTATATTATGCACTTATTACACACTAACACTTCACTACAATGTTTCTACATATTTATTTTATATTAAATACTTAAGTATTTGCTTTTAATAAGCATTTAATTTTTACACTATTTTCGTAATATGAACAATAACAAATGGGTTCAAAATAAATAAAAAAACCCAATCACCCTCTACAAAATATTATGAACTTAATTTTCCATTTTAATAAAAGAAAAAGGTTTTAAGGCTTAAACGTATGTTTTATTGCATCTGATAATTTCACAAATGGATCATGATGCTGATTTACTATATTTTTACGCCATATGTATTCATATATCAAATTTTCAAAATCTTCACTGTTATCCTTAATAAAAATTGAAGTTTATAGAGAGTGATATATTCTCTTTAACATTGCTTTTTTTTGCACCTTCGGCCGCGCTTCAAAAAAATAACCCAGGTCGGTCCAACACCGGGGTGTTCATAATTCAATCGCGTCAAACTTCTTTCTGCACTGGCGGCCTTCGGCCGCGCTTCA